AACAGGCTCATTCTGTTGGAGTTTATCAGGTTTGGTACAGTAACCTGCATGTACATGTGCATAGACAAGTACATGAACCTGTTGGATTTTGTGAGGTTCAGAATGCTTTCTACTGCAGGAGCCTAGGGGGTTAGGGTTAATAAACTTGGAAAAGGTTGAATGGCCATCATCCATTTCTTATGAATGCTTGTGGATGGAATCACAGGAAACAGGAAACATTTTTTTCAAGATGTATTTTTGCGTTGGGGAGATGTTAATTTATATAACGAGTTTTGCAGACGTCTGCACTAGTAAGCAGGAGGTCGTGGGTTCGAGTCCCATCCGAGTAAACTTGTGACTTTTTTTCGCAAGCTCTCGGACAAGCACTGAGCATACAGTGTTTATTAATATATACATTGGGGCAAAACCCGTTATATAAAGGAAACATTTTGTATGTTTGTGAAAAGCGTGACAAAACTGATGGCCCTCCAGAAACCTTCAGTGCTTTATGGAAGCAGATGGAGGAATATGCTAAAAATGCAAAACTGGGGTCCTACCGATCTTGAAAATGGTATCCCAGTCTTCCTGCAGAAATGCTCCATATCTTCCTGCATGTCCGCAGCAAAAATGAAAAGTAACATCAAAATTCACATCGGCTTTAGCATCCCTCACTCACGGTGTCTTGCTGCCTTCCTCAAAACCACACTCCAATTTCGTGTGAAATTGAGCACATTAGAAAGATTAGAAGAATGGAAAATGCAACAATACAATTGTTAACATCAGAAATTGGTTGGTGTGATTTATGAACTGTCCCTCAATTCAACCAAGAATCTGTTGGGAACAATCAGTTTCTACAACCACATGATATGCACTTTTGAATATCACGTGAATATATCCAACTCTTATCTTGAGGATTAAGCACAATTTTGTAAAAAAAAAGTATGCCTCCAAAATCAAGGAATATAAGGCTAGATCAGACAGGGTTGCTACAAACAGCAAATATAAAATTCTCTCATTTCTTCAGCCAAATCTTCATGAATTTTCCCACAATCTACGCTCTTTCAGCTCCAGCCATAAATTGATAAATCTGAATTACCTCTCTTGGCGTTTGCCTGTGGGCACCCCAGATTCAGGTCCACGGCGTCACAGTGGTCTTGAGCCAAGAGCGCAGCGCGAAGAAAGTCCTCGGGGTCATTAGCACTGAACTGCATGCACGATGAGTAAATTTACAAAAATGTTTAAAACTCTTGTGGAAACTGTGCAGCCAGCATATGAGCTTCTACATGGGAAAGAATTCCATATACGGTTGCTACTTGACACCCTGTGTACAAAAACCTATGAGACTGGTCTGAAAAATTCTGAATGTTTTCTCAGTAAAGGCTTGGATATTTTCTATGTCAAGTTTGACTTCCTAGCATATTTTGGCTTTAGATGGCTAATACGGAACTGCTGGAGACAAATTAGCGGTGTCTTACACCACATATTTTCTGTGAGGCCAGAAGAAAGGTTTTCGAAAGAGTTCCATATGCAGAGGCACTTGACATCCCACAAATAAACCCTTTGAGACAGGTCTGAAAAATTCTCAGTGTTTTCCAAGTAGATGACTCGGTATTTTCCCTCCTAAATTGAACTTTTTCTGGACACGTTGTTGCTTTTTGATGGCTGTTAGGTCACTGTAGAGAATGGCGTCCGTATATGGAACTCTTTCCCATTTGACATCTGTTGTATGAACTCAGCCTTATACTCTACGTGGGTTTGTTTTCAATGAATGCATTACGTCTAAAACTTGAAAGGCCAAACCACACTACAGAATTGAGGTGAACATTTTTCTGATGTCACAAATATGCCTGAAGATTTGTGTACATTCCTAATACCCAACACTGATTAAAGCAATAACATTAAAATGTATTTAAAATGACAACATATGAGCCTAATAATAATTGTACTAAGGCTGCTGGGTTTTTTTGGTTCAAAAAAATAATTACAGAGCAAAAGTTACATTATTTTTGCTCTGGATGGAAGAGTAAAAATGTATGAAAAAAATATCCCATTCTTATGACGGACATCTGAATGACTTCTTAACACTTAAATTTTGGATAGCCAAGGATATTGGATACAAAGCAAATTTACAAAGTGAAGAGTTTGACCCTTTATTCTTCACTTTCCACAAAGTTCAGTTCTCTGTTTTCCATGTCCTCTCTTAACAAGAAAAACTTGAAATGAAAAGAGACAAAATAACCACCTTCCTCTAACTAAGCTCTGCCTTTAGTTGTTACCTGTACAATGAGGGGTCGGTCTTCTTGGCAGGAAGCCAATGCTTCGGACCGGTAGCGAGGATCGCGGGCAAACACGGCTGCATGGTACATGGGCGTGTAGCACAGCTGCGCTCCATGGCGACGACTTACCAGTCGCCACGGCAACTCACTCTGGTCCACCATGGGTGCCACCAAGAGGCAAGGTTTGCCCAGGGTCTTTTCCCAAAAGTCATAGCCTTTACGCTTTGGATTTGGTGAGACTGGCATGGTTGATGCTCTGGCTTACCTGAATGTCTAAGGGAAAAAGAAGAAATTGCCAAATATAAAAACGGTATCAGTCTCACAGTAAACTTGTATGAAGACAAAAAACCAGAAAGAATCCATGTCTCACAGTGCCACACCGCTAATTTCCCTGTGACCTATTAGCCATCTAAAAGCAAAAACATGTCCTAAAAGTCAATTTACAAGTGAGACAGTAGAGGTAGGATACTTACGAAACAATTTTGTCACACATACACCGCAGTGCAGCAGCATGAAAAGCAGTTGCGCTAGCCTACTCACTGACTTAAAGTTCCTATGTCGGACAAGAATATCACTCAGCTACATAAATCATTAAATGTAATTAGTCTATGACTGACTGCGAGTGTCTTTCCTTGTTATTGCGTCATAATGATTGCTCGCCATAAAGTTGTATTGCACGACTGTTTGGTTGGCATGGCCGCATTGCGCAGGATCAACTGATGAAAAAACAACAACCGTGATATTCCCTTCATTTTCAAAACATGGAAAAATTTGATGAAGGTCTTATACACCTCGTAAGTGACAAAGAAAAGTTTTTAAATTAAGAGGACCCACAATTATACAATGTCGATTTGTCCACAGCACGTCAACGGCACGTCCACTGCACTACGACATGTAGTAAGTATGCACGAGTATGATCTCAACCTCATCGACCGTCGAGAAATCATTCACCCATTTGCTTGCTAGTGCTACGCGTACAATGCGTGACCGGTGTGCCACTTCACGAATCCAGATCGAATTAGGAATCCATGCCATAATGAATCGGAATTCGTCCTCATTCTTACTTGGCTCATTCTGCTCTTACTTCGCCTGGATTCTAGACTTCTCTATTCACATTACCATCCACATCATCAGGTCGCGGGGGACCATCTAGCAGTGTCGTTTCGCGAGATTTTGAACAGTTCCGAGATTTCAAAGGTGTTACTCGACCAGTACCTCACAAGCCTACCTGTTCATTCTCCGGCTTGGAAATAAAGCCTGGGCGTACTGGAGATTTTTGGTCCTTGTTATAATGTAGAAACAAAATTATCCTTTTTCCTGTTTGGCCCTATTGGCCATCGTGGAACTACTCAGAACTACTAGGTTAAACTTTGCACAGCATGATTTTTAAAATAAAGTGGGGTATTCTTATTGTTACATTCAGGCCATGAGAATGAAAAATTTAGATTTGCGTCCACCGCCAGCATGGTCCAAAACACCCCGCCGAAAAAGTTTATTATTTAAAAAACAAAATCGTTATTTTCAGAAAAATGCAGGAATAAAAAATCAATTTCAAATCCTAAATCATACAGCAGTAAAAGGGTCCAAAATGCGTATATCTACGCAACATATTACCGTACAGTACATGTACGGTACTTGTACATGTACATGTACTGTACGTGTACTGTACAGTAAGCAATCCCGTTAGCGCTTCGAGTAGTCGCGAGGCAGTGCAGCTTCGTCCAGTTTCGTGTCGACTCGCGCCTTGGCCGGCGGCCGGCCGGCCGTGAGTATACAGAATGCCTAGCCTGCGTCCAATCAAAACTTGTTCTGTTTGAAACCGGTAACCTTGATGACCCCATTCGCCTTATATGGAACGTGAGGTTGTGGCTACTTTTGGCTGCCATGCCAATTATTAAACTGAATATGCATTAAGCTCAGTTGAATGTAGGGAGAATTTAGCAGTATCGTACACCAGAAAATGAGGTATATTACATGTTGCTGTTGATCTTTTGTCAATTCTTACTACGTACTTTAATATTCATTGCACTTGGCCGCTTGGCCGCACTCCGCTCCGCACACCGTACACGAAAAATAATGAATCATGAAAAAGCCTCATATTTTTCCAAAATGTTCTGGACGCAAATCTAACACTTCCATTCTCATGGCCTAACCATAATCTTTTCATAACTAGCCTACAGGCAGTTATCCAGTCCTTTCCTAGCCTGAAGGGACATTTGGATTAAACGCTGCACCTGCTTAATTGTTTGCAGCTTCCAGCTTGAATTCAGCTCCCTCTGCAGTATAAGGTACATTCAGTGACGGTATCTTGATTACATAATATTCCTTGCGTTCTGAAGGCATTTTTCAGTCAGCTACTTCTAATTCTCTGTACAGTCATGACAGTGGATGCACTCTCCCAAACTAGCTGAGTTCTACTGACTGAACCGTTAGTATTCCTCTTTTGGGACCGTCCCGGTAGAAAAAGACTGGAACTAACGCTCCACTCAGTAGAGCTGAGTTCCAACTTGAAACCAAACTTTAGCAAACCTGGGCCATCGTGCATTACTGAATTCTAGATTTTCAGATCGCATTCTGGTTCTATACTGGAAGATCGTATCCAGCACATAAAAAAAATGCAGTCCACCGTGAATGAATAATTGGGATTTCTGCTGTTCATGACATACTTAAAGAAATGTCTACTGTTGTGTTAATTCTAATAATTGTCGAAATGATTCTACGAACAAATGATACTGAGGAGTTTGTAATTGATTCTTGAGCAATTTTGTACAGTGTCCATGCCTTCAAGGTGGTCTGTCACCGTCTTTGCACACTTTAGAGTATTAGGCGACTTGAGCTCAGTGAGGTTGAACAAGATTACCATTTTCCTCCAGAACATGTCCCAGCTAGGTCAGATCAACAAATGCTTTAACCATGTTCATTTCGATGTGACCTTGACCTGGCATGAATAGCATCCACTCTAATTCATCTTTCAGAACAGCAGGAATGCCTGCAAGAATATGATATTCCTGGCCTCAGGCTCAGAGTCAGACAAGTGACCAATTCAGAACATGGACAACCATAGATACATAGCATTAGTCTCCTGGTCAAGCCGTATGGAAGTCCATCACATGGACACACCACAGGTGCCTACTTATTCTCACATGGGCAACTATAGGTACATAGCAGTAGTCTCCTGGTCAAGCCGTATGGAAGTCCATCACATGGACACACAACACGTGCCTACTTATTCTCACATGGACAACTATAGGTATATAGCAGTAGTCTCCTGGTCAAGCCGTATGGAAGTCCATCACATATGGACACACAACACTAGGTGCCAACTTATTCTCTCCTGAGCAGATATTGTGAAAATGACAACTTTGAGCTTGGCGGACAAGAACATTTCAAATTTTGATTTGAAGGGAAAATTTCTCTTTTCTTCCAAAATGTTAGTGAACTTACCACCATTGGAATATTCCATTCCCTATGAATCCTGAAGTGGGTGTATAAGATAGTATGAAGACTGTTTTGGGGGTGAAATCTGAGGATTTTGATTTGGGGTACAGGGTATGTTGAGGGAAATTGACAAATGGAAGGGAAGGCCTATGAAAGGTACTTGGACCCTAGTATTGCCTGACCATTTCCAACTGTTGAAAGAAGTGATTCATAGAGTCCTGGTTACTTAGACAACCTAACTAGTCATTTAACTTACTTTAATTTGCAAAAGAATTTTTTTTCAAAAGTTTATATAGTCAAGGGCATAAATTCAGGGGCGATAGGGGTATATCCCCCTACTTTTTGACTAGTGGGATGGGCTATTAAATCACACCCCACACACTGTTTTGGTGAGAAAAAAATCATTAATGGCCAATCGTGAATTTAATCATGAACCAATAGCACTTAAAACGGGAGGACAATAAAAAATGCCGTGAATATGCTGTTCTGAAGTAAGATTCTGCAGGAATGTGATACATGTACTTATTACAGACTCTGTATCATGAACTTTGCCCTCATAGTGTCAAGAATAATGGAATATTGATATTCTGTGATTCTAACTTTTCTAAATTGGCTGTCTTGCATCAAATGCTTGCATTTCAATATTGTGTTTCTCCATTGTTTTTTTTTACAAATACTAGACTTGTTGATGTGACATCATATTGCAGATTTAATGACAGTCATGTGATCTTTTCAGTGGCGTAGCTAGGATTTTACTATGGGGGGAACCATTAGGGGGCACCAGCATCTTATGGGGGGCACCAGCCTTCAGTGGTGTGGTTTTTTCGGGGCAAGCTTTTATTAGTCTTGTTCAATATCCATTTATCCCTTTTGGGGGGGGGGAGAGGGCATCGGGAATTTGTGGGGGGCATGTGCCCCCAGGCCCCCCCATGGCTACGCCACTGGATCTTTCAGAACAAGGAAGGTTTGTCTTGCATTTTATGGCACGGTATTTTCATGAAAAACAAGTATGTTCAATGCAAATCCAGGGAACCATGTGGACTATTTACTGAAAAGTGAACAGACATTGGGCAGCTGAGTAATTTTGAAGACGTGTTAAATGTAATGGAGCAGGAGTGAGGAGAAATGAATATTGAGTAGATTATCAGCAAGATCCTATGATGAAATGTAATTTCATTTATACATGTATATATATTTTGTAAAATCCTGTACAATGTTATTGATAATGGAAGTCAGTTATTTGAGCTATCAATGTAAATGTATTTTCTTTTTTTTCAACAAGCCAATAATAAGGGAATAAATATGTGCTTGGCCAGTCTCAAATATGCGTTTAAGACTGGCTCAGGAGAGTTGGTACGACTAATGCCCGAGCCGCATCGCATTCCGATATCTTATTAAGTCAGAGAGTCAAAAAAAGTTAATATATGATGGATTTCCAAAGATTTTGTTCTAGAATTTTACTTTCAGTTTCCCGAACACCCCCATCCAAATTATGGTATATTCCTTGTGCAAGTTGTCCAATAGAATCTCCTGGCGAGTCACGTGCACACAGACTCTTGACCAATCAGAATCGATTAAACTGTCTCGTATCCAGGTGCCAGTGTGTGATTTATGCAGTGGGCATTATCACTTCTCAACGGGCATTATCAAATGTTAACACACAGTCAAGTTGCATGTTGTTGAATAGGGAGACTGTTGAGGTACTTATCATGACTGTGAGCTACTTGTCTCAGTTCCAGTGGCAGCTTACAAGCCTTTTGAGATATTTTGCAATGTACATAGTAAATTTATCTTGTGAATGTGTTTTTTAGCTTTTGTTGCAGTACTAGAAGAGCCATTTGAGGTAGTAAGAGGAGCTGCCCCAGGAAAAGGGAAGCATCAACTTGTAACCTGGGGAAATTCATGTGTTTCGGAATTTTCTTTTACTGATAATGCAATACTGAATCACTGCAAAGACCAGGGCAAAGACACTCGGTTTCATCCAATGGCATTAATTAATTGGAACAGAGCTTGGTGTTCCAATGTTTGATGGACTTTACATGTCTGCCACACTCTTTAACATTTGATGAAGTACTACTGCATTTCTCACTGTTTTGCATTTCTTAACATTTGTTGAAGTACTTTTGTGATTTCTTAACATTTACTGAAGTGCTTCGTTGTGCGTTTCTTAACATTTCTCGATGTACTTTCAAAATCCTATAAGAGCACTGAAAACTGTTCAATTGTGTCCGTAATTCTTTACCTTGTCCCAAATCATGCTATAACAAACCACACTCAATGCAAAACAGTATATAGTGTGATACAATTTATTATTATTATTAAACGTAGAGAACCTCTTCAAAATTTCCATTATTTCATATTTTATAGCTTGAATAAATTATGCATGAGAACTTGTAGTGATGGTACACATGTAGGATATGGCAGCCTATTTGATAAACGTTTTCAATCTTTTCAAGCAATATAAAAGTTTTGATTCGTTTTATTTACGGGCATGCAACTGGGAATTCACAAAAAGAGGAATTTACCAACTGCACAAGGTTTTGTACAGTTTTTTCAATCCTTAATGGCATACACGAGATGTAAAAAATGTGGAAATCCAGATAGATGATGCGAGGAAAAGTTGCATGCGCGCATTCATGTTTGGTTTCTGCATATGTAAATTTCAAACAAATTGATTAAAAAAATCTGCAATTCTTTGTAAAAATAATATCCGCCCCAGAGCACAAATCTGTTCATAAAAATATAAAATTACAGACTAATCCGATTAGATGTCATAACAGCGATGGTGCTGCACTTGCGCACATTCTTCAGCTTGACCTGCCCATGCATTGGCAAATCGAGACGCCCTATTGGTCAAAGAGGTATGTAACGTGCGTATAACACCCGTCCACAAGCGTTGTGCCACTCCAGTAATGGTTTCTAATTCTAGTTGTCGAATTACACTATAGTTTAAAAGAGTTCTGACGATACAAGAAAGGCCTGGAGACGGCAGTTTCCAACCTGACACTAACACTACATTAATACTCATCCATGGACAGAGGATTTATTTGTCAAGCGAGTGGAAGTTGAACAGACCAGCTAGGCTTGTCATGTCTTTTTCACCAAGTCCCTCAATTCACTGAAGTTGCAGAAACTGTTGGATGAACTAAGCTTACAAACACCAAAGCTGCGTTGACTGGCTATTCTGAATCAATAGACATTCAAGTGAAGACACAGCTGACGCCGGCTTATAAACATGTGCAAGTATTTGCAATGGGGTGTTACATTTCCTTGCACATTCTCAGGACACTTTTTGTCCAAATACTCCATTCAAACCATAATCAAAAGCGCAAGTGCTAAGATAACATTTCAAAGTTTTCCAGACTGATTGTGAACCCCCGTTCCCAAACCAAATTGATGTAGACCAAGTTTGATTACACGATTTCTCTCTTCAAATTCACTTCAATTTTCTTACTGCCAAGTAATGTGAAGTGAAAATTTGTCTGCAGAAAGTTTTGGTAGGTAAGGGTAACAGATGTTGTGGAACCAGTCTTCCACTATTCAAACGTACTTTAGTATCATTCATTTTCCATATTAAAACTTGGCAATATCTCAGCCTTGTGTTGAAATTACCGGTTGCCATTTGCATCTCATTCCCTTATAATTTTCACTGTAAAAATTGATTAAAAATAGCAACGCTGAAGGGCACACACAATGGCTTTTAAAAAGTGATGTCACCATGCAAAGTCTGAAGAGTAGCAGTGCAGACTACATCAGGTTATATAGCATTAGATATAAACACAATAATGCCTTGTTTTACTTATATACTATTATAATATATATGTATACTATATAATATAATATATACTATATAATATACTTATATATTATAAATATATACTTTTTCTTATGGGGCTCCATGGATCGCATCCAATCCACTGCCAAGGTGCACGTGTGAACAACCACAATGCCAATGTGTTAATAGTCTTTCTGAATCATGTACTTCCATCACCAAATCAGAGTTTTGTCAGTTTAGCACTGAGCAATATAAAACAGATTACGTGGTGTCTGCTACTACACAATCTTTACGGGAGATTATGTCATGTATGCCTTTATGACAGTCCAATCAGTGCATTTGAAGGGGGGAAATGATACATGATCCCTTTAACTTATCTTAAGCACCAGAATATGAAAAGACAATGAAATTCAAGAGAAGTGGCATGCTGCACACCAGCAGTTAAAGGTTTAAATATTAAGATTTTAAGAATTCAAATAACAATACATGCATACACCATATCTTTTCCAGTTGGTTAATTACATGTACAACCAATCATTTCCAGTTAAAAAACATCATTACGCCATTTATTCGACCCCCCCAAAAAGCTGAAAGTAAATGTTAAGTACTGGATGGGAAGCACATGTACTGTAAAGTACGTAGTTTTCTCATGCATGTACTATGGACCAGAGATCCAATACATTTAAGAGTTCTGTCACAGGAGGCCATTAGAGTCAGAGTACATGCTTTGTAAGGAGGCTGTTTGTATCTCAATACAGAAAACGTCACAGCCCAGTAGTTGGAAGCTGTGAAAAGGATGTGATCTACATTGTATTTCCTCTAGAGGGAAGAAAACAGTGGACAAGTCAGACTGTTGAATACAAGATGGTGGTCCCTTCAGTTGGCGAACAATTGTAATTACATGTATGAGGAAATTGGTTATCTTTTTTCCAAGCACCTTGGTGTACATGTACGTATGCTATCAAAAGTATCCATGCATGCACAGTAAGTATGCTGTACAAATGCTCACACAATTAGACTGGCAATGCTTTAATACTGGAATTTAAACACAAAAAAAGAAGAAAAATCATCCATTCACCCTTTTCAGTGCAAGGTGAACTGCATTTGCAACGGCTAATGAACATGGCAAAGAATTGGTGGAACGAAACAACCTGTGCATTCGGGGGGGTGGTTGACCGCTTTTGGCTTGACACAAACATCGACATATAATGTGCTGATGAACCCTCCGAGTGCATGATGAGCTCCACTACTAGCCCATTATACTGACGAAGACTAAAATGCATGCATTAAAGGGAAATGACACTGGAGCCGGTGCTTCCAAACTTAGGGGAAAGATCTCAACCAACAAGAAAAGAAAAAAAAGAGAGAACTTGCAACTCATGGTAAATTGGAAAAGAAAACTGTGGAACAATTATGTTCCATTTCCAGTGAGGAGAGTTCCTGCATCACTCCCTTGTGAATCAAAAGCAATTTCAATGGCATGAAAACTGCATAAACATACGCACACATTTTTTCGCCATCCAAACAAAATCATAGAATAAACAGCAGAATTTGATAGAAAATAAGAGTGCTTGATAGAAAATAACACTGCTGGCTCACAAGACATCTATGTGTACTTCTAACTGGCATTAACAGGCTTTTGTATTGTGTACATGTGAAAACAGTTTCAACCCTAACAGTCCTCAATCATCCAACAGATAAAGGATATTGAGAACTGTTACTATTTATAGATCATGACAACTACGTCTGTACTGGTTTTAACTGTGATTTTGTTCATCTAAATTGGTGTACAGTCAACCTTACACAGCTGTACTTGTGGGGTATTCCCTTTGTTCTCGCGTACAAAACTCCCACACAACACCCAAAAATTTTCAAATCACTCCCATCTGAACCAGATTCACTTTCCTATTTTGGAAATTCGACTGAACGTCCCTTATTTAAAATACTTCATTTTGCAACAGATTAATGGCACTTGAAAATTCCTCCCTTTTGAGTAAATTTGAAACATCTATTTTGTGAAATCCTTGTGGGGTCCCGGCTCAGTGCCGGTACTAACCAGTACCAAGAAGTAACTTGTTCTCTAGGTCATACTTTTAAACCTGCAATAACCTCATTGCACAGAGGAAACGAATGTCTTGGATAATTCTATACCTGTTGCCTTAATACGCAAGGAACCATCAGTAACTATTAAAAAAAAAAACAATCCTGTGCCATAGTTCACCGGCAAATTCTGCGCTGACAAATTTTGGCATGGGGTCCGCAGTGTAAATACAGTATAAGTGGTTTTGGCTCTACCTTCTTCAACCCTGTGAAGTCCTCGAAAACCTTCAGATGGATTGAGAAGGTTAGGAATGAATTAAGTGCAACACAATCAAGCCACAAGCAGAGCAATGGTTGCTGGGCTCAAAGTCTTCAATTCATCAATCCATCAAATTAATCAAAACAAGTTGCTGGATTTGGGTATATTGAAGAAGTTTACGACTTCCTGTCTTTCTTAACCTTCTAAATTCCGAATTGGACAAAAAACCATGATTATTCCAATTGACGAAAGCCTCAGCGGAGGTAGCATTGTGCTCATATGCACATCGCACAGTTTCTAAAATTTGAGGTACATGTGAATGCCGGCAAGTTCCAACCTACCTAGTCAATCAAAGAACATCAAGGACAAATGTAAGACATACCTCTGTGAGACCTGGGCGTGAGCATTACACAATCTCACTGACAGCTTATAAACTGCTGGACTAATTTCAATGGAAGGCACTTAGAAACTTCAGCACACATCTTGCAGTTCTTGCAATTTGCACAAATTTGCCAGGAAACTCCCTCTGGACAGTATAATTTGGATTTAGATTTGACAAGTTGCTGATCAGCACCTTGTAATGAATAACTTTTGACCAAAACAGGAAGTTACTCATAAAAGACACTGCATTAAATGTTGGATGGTGACTAAATTTTCACTTGCACGTTCCTAACTGTACATGAAAATTGACTTTGCAGCAACTGACAACCCTTGATTCAAATGGTAACTGTTGTTATCACAATCAGTTTGGTTACGCATATGGCATTAATACATATGGCAATTAAGGTTGTTGCAGCTGAGCCAATCACAAGTCCCTGTAAGTCCATCACAACTTCATCACGTCATGCGGTCATAAGCCAAGTCATAAGCTATTCAAATGAACTGTGATAAAAACATTTTCTTGTCACTGTTCAATCTGTTACTTACAACTGGTCTTGTGAAAGGCCTTGTGACTTGACTTGTGAAGGGACTGTTGATTGAATTGACCACAATGCTGCCAGTTTCTACATATCTATCTAGCTACATGCGCAAGATATTTGCTGGTGTGAATAAGAGTTCAAATGATTCATTACAATAAAGTTTAATCCTGCAACTCACAGATCTTTATGCTTCGTCCAATGTGAACTGTCCTTTCCCTACAGAACGGGCAGACTATTCTGTTGTCTGATGAAATGCTCTGCATCCACTGAAGTCTTACGGGGAATTCGGTTGAAAAAACCGGGACACCACTCCCAATGCAGCATTTGTACATGCGAGCCAGTACCAAGGCTGCATAGTTCATGCTTAAAAAAAGATGACTCATGCTTACAAAAGATGGGATGTGGCACTTCCATAACCTTGTGACAGAAAACAAATTGTCAGGCAAAGGGCTAACTTATCAGTGTAACCAATCCAGTTGGGAGACTGTGGCTTCCATGAATTGTGTTCACAAATCAGAGTGGCCTAGACTGTGCTCACTGATGAATGTGCAGAAAGGAGCAATATTTCATTAGCAGAAAATTGCCTGCTCTTTTTATCAACACGATCAGAAAGAATTTCTGTCCCTTTTCATCCACGATTTCATACGTGTACCACAATAAAGTTGCACTTGAAGTTATCATACTAAATAATCTGATTTTTTTATTTACGAAGAAGTCACTTTTTACAGGCATTTTGAAGACAGAATAATGCATTGTTTACTGCATCTGGAAGTGAATAGCTCTTATCATAGAAGCGTCGCATGCTGAAGCACAAACTTGATCATATTTGGTAGGTTTAGCACGGTGGACTGGGGGAATTGCAGGCTCTGGTCCTTCTGACCTGCTGGGAAGAGGAGGAGGGTGGGGTAGGAGGATGGGGTGAACTGCCAGGGAAGGTCGTTGGCATCTCCGTCAATCCTGAAACAACATTAGACAAAGAAAAATGGGTGACTTGCATCATCGGCATTAAACTATTAAAACACACTGAGAAACTTTGCTTGGAATGAGGACAGAGTCCAGAGAAATGAGTGTACTTCTATGGGATCTACTCCATTGATGTCAGTCATTGTTTTGCCTGGTCAACAGTACAAAAGCAACAGTAATGCACTTAGGATCAAAGCAAAATGAAAAAGACCCGCTTTAAAAGTAATCAAAATATGTGCATTTTGAGATAAAATCTGACATCAACCAAGAGTGACATTTCTGCAAACTCTAGCCATCCACATGAATAGCAGACAACATAAGAACAGTCTACAGGCCAATTTCACAGAGCTCTTATGAACGTACAAGGCCAGAACAGTGCGTCTTGATTGGATGCCAACAAAAGACATCATGCGTAAAGGTTATCAACACTGCATAGACTGCATATTTGTGCCCATGCTTTGACTACCCATAATCCTTAGTATTTCTTTGAACAGAGATTCAGTACTGAAAAAAGATATGCATACATCGGCAGATCTTTCTTCAGAATGGCAGGCACAAGTCAAGCAAGAAAACCTGCCAACCAGTTGGGGAGATTGGAAACCTGACTTCACACCATACCGGTGTGTACTTTATATGACAAACAACATATAAAGGACAATGGTGCACTAGCTGGTTTTGGATCCTGACTATCCAACAAGGAAATGTTCAAGCCGTCCTGTAACAAACCAGCATGGGTAAATAGCCCGCAAGTAAAGGTAAACTTTGACCCCTTTACTTACCTAGAAATCAGTAGATTGGTGGAATGCTGGAAGACTTTTGCCAACATGAGGTACAGATGGTGCGTCCTGCTACAGAAGCCACACCATGGCGCATAGTACAGTAGCAATACATCCTACGCAAATACAAAAATTACACTGAACATACTAATAATTATTTGCAATACAATACTCGATCTCCGATTTCTTAAGATGAATAACAAGAGGTCATTGGGAACCTGACAAGCTAACATTCAGGGATGTTCCTTTCACCATGTTTACTTGGTGATCTGCAATTCACGTCTAAGTGCACATTCCCTTACATTTGCATGAATCATGGCTTCTGATTAGCCGCCCCCGAGAAAATGACAGATTGGAAGAACCACTGACACAGGGCAATGCAGCTCAGTTGATAGAGCACTGCTATGGTATTCTGAAGGTCATAGGTTCAAATGTTGCTTCACTCAATTAATTTGTTAATTTTCATAATTAATAGGTAAGCACCTTGTCGGTTTCCCTCCACGTTTTTTGTTAAATTGTTAAAGTTTAATTAATGAGGCCCATGAAACAGCATACAACTATCACTGCTTTGAGATCAGGAGAGTCCGTGCTCGGACTAAACAGCGCCCTCAACAGTTTCTGCATAGAACAAATAGACACAAAAGCTCCAGTGTTTGACACAGAGCTCAGTGACGCACTCACTTTGGTGCTGTCTAAGACCAGCTCTTCAAACGTGGACGACACCACTTCCTGTACACAGACTCCGGTCATCTGGCTGCAGGCAGAAGGTGCATTGGCAGAGCGGAGGTGCCGCGTAAGATTTGAGGTTGTATAATTGAATATAAAATTTTTAATTGCAGAAGCCGTGATTTCCCCAGCCAGGAGGTGCTGCTGTTCTGCCTGGAAAAAAGGAAATCCAAGTTGAAAGAATTGTACAATCCAGTTTCTTCTTTGTTGTTGTTTTGTTTTTTGATGACAAGTTTCTCCAAATCATTAGGGTCTGTCCATAAAGTATGTGGGAGGGAGGTGGGGATTGTTGGCACTGAGTACACCTTACACACGGGGCAGGCCTCAACATTAATTTTTTTAACTACTTGGAAATTTACTTACCCACCGTAAGATTTCATTTGCCCAAACCCTGGTTTAGTTACTCATTGCTTCCTGGGACATTTTCTTCCTTCAACCAATCACCATTGATGAAATTGCTACGCCAACCACATGACATGAATATATTCATGTACCGTACATCACTCCCATCATCCATACAAGTTCAGGCAACGGCTATTTCTTAACCACTTGACGATTTTGCCTGGTGTCATATATGCAAAAAGTGCACACACGAGTACCAGGCAAAATTCACTAATGTTTAAGTCACAGCCACATGTAAAACAGTCTCCGAGCTCCGGCCTTCACAGCTCCACTGCGCCACACGTGCAAAAACCAATGCCAATACCCAAGGGAATTTTACAGTTTATTTGTATGCGCAATTTCCCTAGTGTGGAAAGGTGCCCTGATACATGCACAGCATGCTTTATACACACACAAGTTATAAGCTTTTGTGAAGAGGAAAAAACAAATAAAAGGTTATTTGCTGACTGCTATACTTGGCCACGAAAAACAAACACTTTTATTTCAAGAAAAAAGTACATGTACCTGTCCTTCGGGCAACTTGTCCTTAATTTTTACTTGCCCGAAAGAAGAAATTACATGTCCCGGGCAATTGGACAACCGTTAACGTCGAGGCCTGACACGGGGAATCAATGGCCAAACATCCTTACGCAGAGCAATAAACTTGCTTTTGATAAACATTGTTTTGCTCTGCATACATGTATATGCATGGCATCAAATTTATGCCCTTTCTCCTATTTATACCTACCTGTACCTAAACCAGCTTTTATGCATCATTAATCGATCGTAAAACATGCCCTTTTTTTCCCCACCATGTACATGTAGATCTCAACCACTACCAGAGCCACAAGTCTGATGACAAGTCAAAGGCAATAAAGAATGTGTACGTGCATGATAAAGGCAGGTGTTGGGGGTGGAGCCAACACATACATACATGCAAAGTGAACAGGGAGGAGGCCTAAAAAGTCAATATTTTGTACATGTACATGGACAGCTCCTGCATTCATCAATACCACAACTTGCATAAAACGATGTAAGGGGTGATCAAAGGACTTGTTGGCACATCAGGCAGGCATTCCGTCCAAAAATCAAGCACAACCGTGCATGTGAGCAGATTAAGTTTCAATGATGCATCCCCCTTTGGAACATGTCTTGCAACCAAACCTGTGCAGTATTTGTGGAAATACGGGACAAGCTGGGCAAGAACCTTACATGCTTTGCAGCAGTTTGAATGTAAAGTACTGATCATTTCACGTTCGTGCTCTACAACCCTACAGATTTTAACCTTTATTCCACTGGATTCTATTCGCTATCCTTTCCTGATTGGTCACACATACAGAATAAACATACTTGTTTGCCCTACAAACTATTCAGAAAGCAAGAGTGTTGGCATTGTGTACACTGGTCTAACTGTCACTGCTATGGTTACACCGCACTCACATGATGTACATGCTCTGAAATTTCACACTCACATGTGCATTTTAGCAAGTGGCAACATCCTCTTTGCTGATTTGATTGAGGGGAATTTTAGGCTGTGTTTGTTTCACATGGATCTGGATCATGATCAGTGATCCGTCGTTCCTTTATGGACAATAAAAACCTGCATAGAGGATGGTGTGAACCGGTGTTAGGATCACTGATCGAGATTCAGATCGGTGTGAAACAAACAGGCCGTAACACATACATACTTCCTCCAAACAAGTACGGTGCTACCATAATAATGGCTTCTTCTAATTCCGGTGCCTGCATTATTCTGTACCATGGGTTCTAACAAGGACCCAATTTCATGGCACTGCTTACTGTTAAGTAAATGTTTTTGCCAACCATAACAAAAAACTGGCTTAGCAGTAAGTGTATTTCATGGCAAACATTTCACAGTTGCTGTGTGTAGCACAAACTGCATGAGTGCGCTCACAGAGATTTCCACTGTTATATCACTGCGCTAAGCAAATTTTTCCCCTGACATTAGCATGCCTTTTACTATCCTCACTGCTTACAGTCGCCACAAAATACGCAAAGCCTCTGTTGGCATAAAATCGTGTGCTTATTAGCACCATAAAATTGGACCCAAGTCATATGGTACACTGAAGTACATGTACAGTGTATGTCATAGCAACAGATCTATACTGATGACTGCGGTGGTTTGCCCGTGTTTAAATTTACAGTGCCATAATGTAACATTCCAGCACCGAGACAGCTGAGGTATACCATGGCACCACACAAGGCAGTCCCAAAATTCCTCAGATGTTAAATGCCCGTCATACCTCAATATCCAGCAAGACTATGGCTGTCCTTTTTCCGGGTGCCTGGAAGCCACTTCTAGCAGATGCCCCTAATTGCTCTGCAAACTGCCAAAAGTATTCAGACCTCATGGCAAAGAAATTCACCGTTCTGTTGGTCCTACATCCCAGCCCCGTGAAAGGGCCCAAGTATGGGTGAAAGACATTCTCTTTTGATTCCAACGTCCTCCTGCAATGAGAATTTTGGTTTGAATTTGCGTTGGAAGTTTTGGTTCCCCGGGAGGATTCCTGGCACTTGCTGTTGCAGTCAGTTCTGCTTAAAACTCCTTGACAGACTGAATTGATCGCCGACCTTCCAGAGTTAGAATCGGGGACGGCACAACGTTCACTTTGGCTGTACAAATGACCGGGTGCAATGTCGCACTGTTTACAGCATAGCTGGTACTGGCTGTAAGGACTATAATAGTAATTCAAATGGAGGCAGCTGTTTGGGGCCAGTGACGACTTTCCATGGACGATCAGCTTCGTCCACGTCGCTTGGCTGTGCGGCAGGGCTGGGCTGCAAGGGCTCGGGTGGAGCGTGGTCGAGTGCTCGCAGACCTGACAGACGTTGCGTCCGTGGGACATGGTCGTGGTTAATGGCGGATCGGCTAGCGTCTGGCAACACTCGCACACAGAAGGCGCACTATCACTACGATCATCTGCTTCATTGCAATTGTCAGGAGTTGGTTTTCTAGCACTGTTGATTGCACTGATTAGCCTCTGGATCAGCCTGGAGTTGTTGCAATTGTAGTAGTCCAAAGCAACTTTTTTAAACTGTGGATAAAAACAAACAAGACAGTTAGAAAGGTTAAAGTTTTGTGCATAAGCGCTTAAAATTAGGAACGTTAACTGGAACACTAATGAATTGAATTTCTCAATGGGGTCTAGTGCCAGATGAAGGTTTGAAAATTGATCAGGTTCATTTATCACGAACATGAAGCTCACTTCAAGAATTGTAAAAAGTGGATGCGGAAAGAAAGAAAGACGGTGTATGTGAAAAATAGTCAGTTCAATCTGCAACAATATTATCAATTCAGCCAGTACAACGGGACAATTACTCATGGGATAAAACAGAGGATCCACAGTCTAGAGTAAAATATCTTGCCCATGGACACATACAACCCAAGGTGCTGGATTAGAACTTTGAGTTCAATGCAACGGACCGCAAGGCTACTGTAATCAACTATTAGCTCCATGTAGACTGTGATACTTCACCACAGACTTTGCACTCACCATATAAAAATCATTCAGCAGACCTTGCCGTCGATGATGACGGGTGAACAGAACCACAACAGGAGAACTGTCCAACTGGGTAGCCATGATGGTGCTCTTCACACCTGCAGGGGCTAGCCACTGCACCACCTAGTGAAAAGAAACGTACACAGCGTAATGGCTGGTTTGAAACTGTGCTCTTAAGAATGTTAGAAGGCAACACAGACAATATGTTCATCCTGGGAGAAGTTGAAGCAGGCCTACATATACAGTACATGGTGTGTGGTATGGGCTATGTACCACAGGCACTGTAAATGGCAGAGCATCTGCATGGACTGAGTTGCTATTCAACAGGTATGAACCATGCAGGGGTACCAGTTGTGAGCGGCCACTTAAAATTAAAGCTGAAAACAGCTAGCAAAACGCTGAATTATGTAAAAAAGTCCCCATACATTTGTACACAGCAGCTGTACAAAAAAGCTGAAATTCAGGGTCAAAATCTAAACAAAAAAGCTGAAATCAGCTACATGTAAAAAGCTGAATTCTCATACTCCTGACCATGGCAAAAACATGGCCCATGACCTCAGCAGAAGCAGTTTGCCACTGCGGTGGTCAAAATTTGTGACAACTTTTGATGACCCTATATAGTCCCGAATCCTCCCATTGTAACATACATGTAATTTTCGACAGACACACCAAAGGGTAGTATCAAGAGGGAAATGTGAACAAACTTGAAAAAAATACTTATTTGAGCTTTCACTTTGAAATAAACTTGTCAGTGATGACCTCAATGGCAAGAGGGAAGGGAAAGAAAGGATGAGTCATTTTACTTCAAAAGAAGAAGCACACTCACAGATTCCTGATGCTTGTAAGCCCATTCCATGATCAGCTTAGCTTGGAATTTGGCATCTCTTGGGTACAACTGAAGTGAAAACAACTTCGAAGGCTCAAGAATACTTATGACCATAAAACCTACCAAATACTTACAACACTTCCCGTCTTCAAAACTCTCTGATGCATCGAGCCAGAAATAGAGGGATTACAATATGAGGGAGATTTTGAATGGAAAATTTGGACTAAGGGCCATTTTCCAATACTCAACTTCGTCTCCATCTCAGGCTTCATCTCAAAATCAACTCCCACAGTAGGTCTGAAGCATTTCAATGCAACTCAAATACGTGAACTGTAATCAAATAAAATTTAAATACATGTACTGTAATATTTTACTCTTTTGCACCTTATTTGATGTTCATGAGGTACTGTCGCACTTATTTTTGGGCAAACAATTTCCAGCTTGGGTGGTAAAAAGATGAAGCCCGAGACGGAGACTAAGTCAAGTGTTGAACAACGGCTAAGATCTAGGGCCGTTCCTCACAGCTTCTTGCTTCCCACAGTATTAATTAATGAAAAATGCATTTGTCATTCCCACAGCTAAAGAACTAGACTGGGTGGATGATCTGTGCATTTAATGTACCACTTGCACTTGGCACTCGTTGACCATTCCTTTCACATGGCATGAAACCTTGAAGTGCAATCTGGGTAATCTTCACAGTTCAGTTATTTTAATTTTTTTTAAATTTTCCCACTTACCAAGGTTGAATTCAGTGTCCTTATCATGGCTATGCTTTTAGACTGCTGCAATCCTAGTCTCTGCGCTAGCCTGATGTTTGTTACAACTGCAAATGCAATGGGCTCAATGGAATCTTTCTCCAGTGCCAGCCACGCAGCCTTCTGGAAGGAGACTAGGCCCGGCAGAATGGGAAAAGTAGTCCAGTCAAAGTAACCCACAACCACAGTCTATGTGAAAATAATACATACATCATTATTACTAATGCATATTCATAAGCCAATGCAATATTGGTCAATTTTCAGTTTGGTACCAAGGCTACTGACCATGCTACAGATGTAATGAAGTTATACCTGACCTGACTCTGACACATATCTGTTGACGTGTAAGCGTAATATCTACAAAGAAACAACTACATGTACTCAATATTTTCAGCAAATGTTCAGAAATTGAACTTTTTACAGTCACAAATTTACAAACCATGAAATTTCAATGATACCATAGCTAACTAACGAACAACCAGCGTTGGGGTTGGGTGACAAGGTCTTGCACGTTTCTGGGATTGAAAACTGCAAAATACAAACTGACCAACGCTCACCCCATGATGTGCATGAAGCGAGTACACTGACTCAATATCAGGAACATAGGTGAAAGGCCTGCAGAGTCGATATAGGAAAGACACCATCTCTTCAGCCTGCAGGATACCAGTATACTGGAGACCATTGCGGATGGTTGGGGCTGTGGCCAGCAGGGCTGGGTACATGGTGGTCTTGACTCGGCTCCTACATGACCCATGCAACCACCAACAGTTGACAGCGACGAAAGTGACCTACAGCGTGGAAAAGATTCTACCAGGTATCACATCATGTCAACTTTTAATGATTTGAGTTTTGCCCTTAAAAGTGTTTAATGAGCACTATTATTCTGTTTTTCTGGTAAGCTTGTGAAAAAAAAAATCATAGCTTACTTGCGTGTGGCCTCTTGCTTTATCTGGTGCAGGTGCACAA